TTTTTGACATACAAAGTGAGTTTGCACAGTATATTTTGCAAACCTTATGTGTGCTACGACTGTATAATACTTCATATGTTGCTCAGCTATGTCGGCTGAGTACAGTAATACCCCCATATGTACCTTTGCCAGGTATGTGTGGACATCGGAGGGGCACATTTGGGACACAGCCATTCCAGTTTTTTCAAACTTTGAATTTTTATGCTGTGCCTATGTCCCATTTTAGAGTATTTTACCAGGCTATATAATCCAAATTCCCCATAAAGCCATACCATTTCTTAAAGAAGACATCCCAGGGTATTTCAAAAGGCATATTTTGAACCTTAGCGTGGGATCATTTTTCCGCTAGCTTGTACCAAGTGTAGTGGTAATAAGCATTTTTTCTGCCTTTTTGATATACAAAGTGAGTTTGCGCAGCATATTTTGCAAACCTTATGTGTGCTATGACTGTATAATACTTCATATGCTGCTCAGCTATGTCGGCTGAGTACAGCAATACCCCCGTATGTACCTTTGCCAGGTATATGTGGATGTTGAAGGGGCGCATTTGAGACGCAGCCATTCAGTTTTTTCTAACTTTGAAGTTTTACGCTGTGTCCATGTTCCAATTTGGAGTAGTTTAGATGGTTGGTTATTGAAACTTCCCCACAAACACATACTATTTATTAAAGAATACACCCTGGGGTAATTCAAAAGGCATATTTTGAACCTTGGCGTGGGATAATTTTTTTTCTAGTTTGTTCCAGGTGTAGTGGTAATGAGCGTTTTTAAAATGTATTTTTTTACTTTTTATAACTTTTTTACTTTAAAAACTAGTTTTTAAACTTTTGTTTTGCTTATAAATTTTTTTTAAACTTTCCTAAACTTTCTTAAAACTTTTTTACAGATTTAACATTTTTCTAAGCTATTTTTTTACTGTTAACCCCTAACTAGCAGTACGCAGCACTAACAGTAAATTCACCATTTTCCCATAACTCCCACCCACCCCAGCTAGCAAAATATATAGTTATAAAATATTTAAATTAATTAATTAAATAAATTGAACCCCTGAGGGTTAAAAAAATAAATAAAAGTTAATCTTCAGGGGTTAAAAAAAATTAGATCACAGTATAATACTGTGATCTCTATTTGATCGCTGTAGGCAGTGATCGACTGGCAGGGAAGGGGTTAATTTTTATTTTGACTAGGTAAAGTGTGTTTTTTTGTTTTTATTACTTAAATGTTATTAAAACATTTTTTAAGCTTAATTTTTAACTTTTTAAAGTTTCTTTTAAAACTTTTTTTAACGTTAACCCCTAGTTAGCCTAACGTCAAATCGCCCAATTCCCCACTAACTTCCACCTACCCCAGCTATCTAAATATATAATTTAAAAATAATTTAATTAATTACTTTAATTAATTTAACCCCTGAGGGTTAAAAAAAAAAAGAATTAACCCTCAGGGGTTAAAAAAAAAAATCAGATCATAGTAAAATGTAATCCCTGCCAATTGATCACTGTAGTCAGTGATCAATTGGCAGGGAAGGGGTTAATTTTTTTATTAAAATGGGTAAGGGGGGGGACACTTTAAATTAACTTTATTTTTTTTAACAGCAGGGGGCAGGATCAGCACTGATCCGGCTCCCTGCACTTCACACAGAACCCGGAAGTGCAGGGAGCCGGTAGGTGAGTATTCAGAGCACATGTGCTCGCTCCGACTTGTGGTCAGAGCGAGCACATGTGCTGGGCAGCTTGACCGGGTGCTCCCGGTATGCCTCCAATGCAGAGGCATACCGGGAGCACCATTAACCCCGCGATCGCCGCGATAGCGGCGATCCGGGGTTAATTTTACCGCGTGACGGACGAGGTCCGTCACCCGTCGTTAAGGGTCTCCCCTGTGTGACGGACCTCGTCCGTCACCCGTCCTGAAGGGGTTAATTAATCCATAAACATACCTTGCTAACCAATTATCTGTAACCTCGATCTTCAACCTGACCCACAGCTGCGGGATGCTAGGCCCGTGGGTCGGGACTTGCAATCACCACCAATGTGCGGCCTGCAGGTGCCGCCTTGCAATCTGTGGCTGCGGAAGGCCAGGCCCGTGAATCAGAGCTTTGGTCACCTGTGCCAAGGGGAGTGGAGTGAACAGCCGGCCAGGGACTGGGGGTTCAACTGCACTATGTCACCCGCGGGGAGCCAGATGGACTGTACCGGGAAGGAGGCCTTTCCCTGTGACTCACAGTGCTCAGGCCGCCAGGCGAAGGGGCAGGAGACACGGCAGCAGCCTGCAGGTGCCTGCCACCATCATAAGAGCCTCAGCCCTAAGAGCAGCGAGCACCACGTCGATATCCATGCTCCAGGCTGTGGCAGATACTCAGGAAAGTAAGGGAACAATTCCTAGCAGATTATAAAATGGCAGGGGGGAAGTAAAGAACAAGTCTCCTATTTATAGAAACATAGAATGTGACGGCAGATAAGAACCATTCGGCCCATCTAGTCTGCCCAATTTTCTAAATACTTTCATTAGTCCCTAGCCTTATCTTATAGTTAGGATAGCCTTATGCCTATCCCACGCATGCTTAAACTCCTTTACTGTGTTAACCTCTACCACTTCAGCTGGAAGGCTATTCCATGCATCCACTACCCTCTCAGTAAAGTAATACTTCCTGATATTATTTTTAAACCTTTGTCCCTCTAATTTAAGACTATGTCCTCTTGTTGTGGTAGTTTTTCTTCTTTTAAATATAGTCTCCTCCTTTACTGTGTTGATTCCCTTTATATATTTAAATGTTTCTATCATATCCCCCCTGTCTCGTCTTTCCTCCAAGCTATACATGTTAAGATCCTTTAACCTTTCCTGGTAAGTTTTATTCCGCAATCCATGATTATATCTTCTACCCTGCCAATCACTTACTGCTGACCACATCCCACCCTATCACTCTTTCCTACACACACCCCACACTCACACTGCTTGATCCAGCTAGCTTTGCCTGCCTCCTCAGGGTTTTAGTTAAAAACAAACAAACAGTGCTTCCCATTATGATTTTGCATTGTCAGTCCATTTTTATAGGCGATTTCCAATAGGTCAAGTGGGAAGATGGTAAATAGCAAATTTCAAGTCTTTCCACAGAGCTGCACTTTGACTGGCCCATTCAACACCTTTAACCCCTTAAGGACACATGACATGTGTGACATGTCATGATTACCTTTTCTTCCAGATGTTTGGTCCTTAAGGGGTTAAGGTAACTCATGGTGCCAGATTTTAAGTAGGCATATTAGACAACCACCTTGTGTCACATCACTGTCTGATGATCATTAATTGCATCATTAGGGAGTAAGGTGGGGCTGTGAGCACAAACTCCATTGCAAGGTTCTTTGATGATGAGACATAAGAAGTAATAGCAGTACTGTATAAGATTACATATTAGTAAAATAAATGCAAAAAAATAAGACACCATGACATGTTTAGAGGAAAATTGTGGGCACCTGAGATTATTGTTTTTACAAAATCAAGAGAAAGTAACAAAATGGTGACACCATATACCCCCAATTTTGGGAGGATTTAGGGAAGGTTTAAGCTTGGTGGCTGTATTTAAATGGAGTGGACACTTAAAAGCTACAGTGGCATTCCCCTGAAAAAGTATAAATTACTAAACTAGATGTTATATAGACTATTTATATTATACCTGCTGATACAACCTAAACCAGGGGCCAGAGGAGAGAATTCATCTGTTTTAACAATATCCTCCTATTATTAGTTTACACCTGTTTTACATACTATATTTATGATACTTAGATGTTCTGACAAAAACAAAATGTAAAAAGATATGTAATTTATTTTAGACATTCATGGATTAGTATCATTCATTTGGTGAAACTTACATTTTGAACACATTGCACGTGACACATCACATGTTCCTTTTCTTTCTGAATTGTAATGTTAGTCATTTAATAGCTGTATGAGCACTCTACATTGCTAAAGTGACATTATAATATTTGTGAGCATGTTCCCCGAAATCATTAAATCCCCAAGAAACAAGTTCTTTCCTTTTTGATCCAAAAGCTGCCTGCATATTATTATTGATCTCTTGTGATTCCAGACATTGCTTTCCACATTAGTCGATTAGCCATTGCTCTCATTCAAAGGATGGGGCTGGGGGGGAGGGCGGGGCAATATTTATCTGAATATTACTGTAGCAACAGCAGCCTGTCTGCAGCCACATGTGGTATATCTGCAGTTGCTAGGCAATGGAACATTGATTAGACAAACCAGCTGTAGGCATTGAATGATGTAAAAACTTTAATGTTCGCTCAAATGATGTCTGTGTCATTCAGGCACTTTCTATGGAGAATCCTGTGGTCTCACTGGATCCTCTGTAGATTGCAGTGCATGACAGTATAGCACTGATGTGGCTTCTGGCAACTGAAGCATCAGAAGCAGAAGAGGACAATACAAAGAAGGCAAAGATGGTGAGGGACAGCATTAGATAAGTAAAACTAACATCCCGAGCACCACGTGGCCTCCGGACCCACATCGCATGTGTCAGTTTCATGGGTCTTTGTGAAATATATAACAGACAAACTTTGAAGGGAATATGATCCTATTATACTATGCAAATAACTTTTTGGTGACTTGTTAATTAGCAAAACTGGAGGAAATTGGTTTCACATACAGCATATCTAATTAAATACCAAAGACATTAAATATGGCCATAATATGGACAGTATTAATAACAGCTTGCTGACCCAGGGATAAATCCAACTGATATTTTGAAGTTTAGAAGACTTATATGGCTCAAAAATACAAATTTTTTTTTATGTAATACTACTATTTTCCCTGTTTAAGCTATTGCTTCTTCTATTATGTCCCAATTTTTAAAAAAATGTTTGGCCTTTCCCCGCTTAACAACCCTGAACTAACAAAGAGAATAAATGCAACTTAATTATAGGTCTTCTATGTTTAATCAATATATATGGTGTGATTTTATTCTGTCCTGTAAGTTTGTGGTAATCAAAAGCAATACAGATGCTTTTCTGAATGTATTTCTTTATAGTAATAAGATATATACAGCAGACTAAATGAACCAGCACTATTAATATATTCCAACATAATTATACATCCCTCAATTTAATGATTATAAAATATATTAAAAAATGAATAAAATAACAACCAAATATCCCTCAAGTATATTATGTAGTTATGCATTTTTAATAACAAGCAAATGTGAAAGTCAAGCTCATGATACCCTGAAGTGTATATCCTGGTGGGTGAACATCTGATGTTGCTGATGAAACTGACATGTCCCAGGCATCAACAAAGCCAACATTAATTCCTTGGAAAACCTCTTTCATTACCAGATATTGAGTGTACCCATGAAAGTCCCCAATTCGCTCTACTGGAGCAGTCATCTCTCTAGTGTTCTCTGTTTTGATGATGACTTTAGTGTCTGGACTTCTCAGGAAAAGCCGTTCTATGGCTCGACGAATGTTCAGAGCTCTTCTAATATACAGTTGAAGAGGGAATTGTCTGAAGTGCTGTCCCATGGTAATTGCAATTATGGTGTCTTTTCCTCCACCTTTATGATCAATCTGACGACTAGTATACCTGTCCTCTTTAAAATAATAGAAATCAAAACACTCCAGGGGGAAACCATGCCTTTTATAGGAGACATATATATCATTTTCCATATTCAGAGCTGTTAGGGTCTTTTGCCAATGGGCCCATTGCCTCTCGTGGTAAGTAAAATAATTTATGACTAAAAGAAGATTTAAAAAAAAAAAAAAGAGAATGTTAGTAACATATACTTGAATAAGCATACCTACCAAATACCCATGTTCAAGTGAAGGTATTTTACTGCAATAAATCATCTCCCTTCAGTCTTGATTTTTAGCATCCCAAATCTCTCACCTTGAGACTCTCTCTATCCCAGTCTATTCTCTTGGTGTTTTCCTATTTTTCTCTCATGTTACACTTGTCTGTTTCTCAGGCCCAACTAATTTTTTTTTAAACCTCTCTGTCTTTACTCATTGTCTGCTTCCCAGATTTACATCTTTCCTTTTCACTATTTCTGAGTACCTCATTCCTCTCTACATCAGATTTTGTATTTTATTTTAACTCCTAAAAGTATTTCACAATAAAATGTCAGTGCTTAGTGGATAAACCCCTATTGTATATACAATATTAGTGCCATTAGGTACGTAAATCAAATTCAAGGTTAAAATAAATCTCAGAAATTAAAAAAAAAAAAAAAACACTCCAGACAATAATACAACTTTAATGCATTTGCCAAATTATTTTTTGCATGGTCAAATCATTATGATTTTTTTTTTTTTTTACAAAATATATAAATGTTTTACAGAATGCTGCACCTTAAGACTGCCTCCTTAGCCACAACCCATCATGCCATAAAGCAACAGCACTGAGTGAACTGCCTTTAGTTCACAACTTGGTTTAAGACAGAAAAACTAACAGGTAGTGATATACTTACTATATGTCTCACGGGTTGTGTCCTCTCCTTCTAATGCAGGTTTGTTTTGTTTTTCAGAGCTTTTAGTGGCTGAGCTGTGTGAATACCTTTTTGATAAGGAAGTATTTTTCTCAAGTGACGGGGTGTGGCTATTATTATCGCCATTTATATAGCACCAACAGATTCCATAGCATTTTTCAATATTCTTAGAGGGGGATTTAACTATAAATAGGACAATTAAAAGAAAACTTACAGGACCAATAGGTTGAAGAGGGCCAAACGAGCTTACAGTCTATAGCAGGTGCGGTATAAAACTCATTAGGATAGAAAATAGCAATCAAATAAGGTGGGAGTGAAGCAGAGCTGGAGGAGAGAGCAAGAGACAACTATGTGAGGTACAGGTTAGTCTGGGAGGCCATAAGCTTTCCTAAAGTGTCTTTTTAAGACACTTAAAAGATTGAAGACTAGGGGAGAGTCTGATGGTGGTAGGTAGGCTATTCCATAGGAAGGGAGCCGTCTGTGAGACTCCTGCAAGTGCGAGTTGGCCTTACGGGTATGAGCACCGGACAGGACTTGACTCCTAAAGGATACAGGAAGCCAATGTAAGGACTGACAGAGGGGTGAGGTGTGAAAGGACCGACTAGAGAGGAAAATCAGTCTGGCAGCAGCATTCATTACAGACTGTAGAGGGGCAATAATGCTTTTGGGAAGACCAATTAGGAGAGGGTTACAATAATCCATGCGGGAAATTACTAGAGCATGGACAAGCTCCTTGGTAGCATCTTGTGTAAGAAAGGGCCGGATGCGGGCTATGTTTTTAAGTTGGAATCTACACGATTTAGCAACATACAGGATGCGAGGCTCAAAGGTAAGGCCAGAGTCACGTATGACGCCAAGACAGCGTGCTTGCAAGAATGGACTTAAGTGGATACCACTAACTTGAAGGGAGAGCGAAAGAGGATGATCAATATTAGGAGGAGGAAAGACAAGGAGCTCAGTTATAGAGAGATTGAGTTTCAGAAAGCGGGAGGGCATCCAGTCAGAGATGGAAGATAGGCAAGCAGAGACACATTGCAGGGGAGAGATGCGGGGAGAGATCCGGGGAGGAGAGATATATCTGGGTGTTATCAATGTACAGGTGGTAGTGGAGTCCAAAAGAGGTAATACGTTTGCCAAAAGAGGCAGTATAAAGAGAAAATAGAAGAGGAACAAGGACAGAGCCTTGGGGGACTTCAACCGAGACAGGACGAGCGGAGGAGCTGTCATTAGAAAAGGAGATGCTGAAAGAGCGTTGGGGGAGATAAAAGGAAAATCATGAGAGGACAGAGTCACAGAGACCGAGTGATTAAAGAGTTTGAAGAAGGAGAGCATGATCAACTGTCAAAGGCAGCAGAGAGGTCAAGAAGAATTAGTATGGAATAGTGGCCTTTGGATTTAGCTTCGATTAGGTCATTAGTAACTTGATAAGAGCAGTCTCAGTAGAATGGAGAGGGCGGAAGCCTGATTGAAGAGGATCATGGCGAGAGTTGGAATTGAGACAAATGGGCAAAGGCAAGTGTTTCCAGAAATAACAAGAAAAATATACCTAAAAACATAAAATGGAGAAAGAACTCATAGGGTAATAACACAATGTAAAAAAATAAACAAACAGTTTTAATGGTTGCATTCACAAAAGCACAGAGAATACAGGCACATCAATAATCTGTAGATTTCACCGGATTCAGACTCTGAAATCCAGAAGTACATGTGGAAAGAAATTTAGAAAGACCATAGTGCAACACTGGTTGAAAGTAAAAAATACATGTTTTAATGGTCACAATTACAAAATAGAAGTAGATAAAAAGCCCATCAGTAGGATCACCAGTCCAGTATGACCGACTGGAATCCTGGAAAGTTTGGAACACCGTAGGCAAAACTATCCAGCAACATAAAAAAACAAATATATAAAATCAAACTCACACTGCGCCTTTCCTCTATTTCATATAGACTTCATCAGGAGTATTAAAAAGTGCATAAGTAAAGTGCTATAAAAGCTTTGAGAAAAAGGGATCAGTGATATGGGACGATAGTTAGAGGGGGAGGATGGGTCAAGAGATGGTTTATTCAGGATCGGTACTACAATGGCATGTTTAAGGTCAGCAGGGACAATGCCAGAGAGAGAGAGAGCAGCTGAAGATGTGTGCTAAGGAATGCACAAGAAAAGTGGAGAGAGATCTGATAAGGTGAGATAGGACAGGATCGAGCGGGCAAGTGGTGGGGCGAGAGGAAAGGAGAAGCGCAGCCACCTCTTGTTCAGTAAAAAATTTAATTACAGGAAAAAAATTAAAAAAGGTTAGCGCTAATAATAAAATAAATAAAAATGAATAAGAAGGCAGCAGCCTCTAACCCTCTACAGTAAGAGTATACAGAAAAACAGAGAAAAGGCTGCGCCAAAATATTGTACAAATAAAATTGTATAAAAGAGTCCCAGTGTAAAATTGTTGAGTGTAATATAAAAGAGTCCCAGTATTAAATGTTGTCCGAACTGGTATGGTGTCTTCTTTGTTAATAGTCGTCCGTCTCACGATATGAAAGACACAATAGGAAAGAACCAGTCGTGCAGATTGTATAAATAAGTTATAGTGAAGTTAAAATATAAATTGCGCACTCACATTTCCATGAGCTAGGACCAGCTCTAGTATGATGGGCATACAGCGGATAACCCTCCACTTATGGGGGTGCTTGTCCTCCTGGAGAGTGCTGGTGTCCAATTCTCAGGAAAAGAAAAAAACAGCCAATAGTGCTCTCTGGTGAGGTAGTTAGCAAAGGAATTAAAAATAAATAAAATATACTCACAAGTAGAGTGCAGTCCTTTCTGCACTCTATTATTCGCGTGGGTGGTATAATCCCCACCTTAGGATATGCCAGGAATGATAAATGAAGATAAAATAGTAAAAAGGATAAATTATATAACGTAATTTATTAATATAGAATATTTAAAACCAATAACGCGTTTCGCCGTAGAGGCTTTATCAAATTGGAATAGTATTAGTACCTGGCAAATGGGGAGTATATATAACTTATACATACATTCAAAATTGGCGCCAAAAATGATCACCAATTAGGGCTGTGCAAAATGTAAATGAGAAGTGCACAATCAAAAGATAAAAAATAATGCACAACAGTAATATGTTAAAACATACAATGGTATTTGTATATATATAATATAAAAACGAGGGTTATTTAATTGAAAATTTCTGTAAACTTAAAATAAATAATTCGCGTGCGTCACGTGACCCGCAATGCACTTTGGGATCTGTAGTGTCTGGGCCACGTGACCGCACGTAGTAGGCTGATTTGTAAGCAGTCCGTGCGGCCAGTGCAGAGAGAGGCGGTACGCACGGACGGCAAGGCGGGATCGGGATATGTCACATGACCCGCGGCGTCACATAACACCAATACTGAACCTCTTGTTCAGTAGCCAGGGAGAAAGTCTGAAGGGTAGAAAAGGCATGATCTAAGTGTGGTTGAGAAAGAACAGCAAAGTGGGGAGAATTCTTTCCTTAGCTGTTCAATCTTGTCGGTAAAGTAGCATGCAAAGCTATCGGC